AGAGGCCAGGAGAGCCATTCTGACCCAGCTAATGGCATAGCAGCACATTTAGTGTTGTCTCTGTGCTATAAAATGAAAAGTTGGTTTGTCAGTCCCTAAAACTCAGCCAGGGTGAAAGGACATTGTTCTAAAGTGTAATTTGTATTACATTTACTAGGGAAATATATAGTTTTGAAGGCCATTAAATACTCAACATTGTTTCATATGGTTGTGAGCTTACAGTACCTGTATCCTGTTCTAAATCTCCCTGATTGTATCCTACCAAGAGGACAGTATCCATCCCGGATGATCAGGAGTAAGCCCCGGACCTCCACACTGACTAGCCTGCAGAAGGCTGAATGTCTTTCATGTTGCCTTGTATCTTGGTGGCATTTACATTTTTGATGGATCCAGGGTCCAAATGTGCCATTTGTTGGCTCAGTTTAGAGATCTCAAGGCGTAAGTAACCCCTTTGATTCACAGATGAAAGCAAGAACACATTGCAGGCTGCACGATACATGGCTCAGCCAGGTCTGTGGGACAAGCTGAATCCAGCCAGCCAGGGAGCAGGGTAGAAGTCTTCCTGACATCGCTAGTCAAGAGAGCGTGACAGACCGTGAGCAGCAGGCTGCCAGAGTCCCTTTGCCCTTGGTTTAGACACAGATGGGAGCCCACAGCCGCAGACTGAAGGGTTTTGTGTGCACCGAGTCCTGAACACACAACCCAGCCCACCGTGCGTGTGTTTCTCATGAAGTACACAAAGTTTGGTTTTTAAATGTATAACATACAGTTGTATAATAAACATACACAGAAATCCGTTTATATGAGCATATAATATTTCTAGAAGTACGTAAATACAAATATAAACCAGTAAAAAGTGAGAGGGGACTCAGGATCTCAGCAAAGTTGTGGCACATTAAACATGGAGGTTACTTGCACAACCAACATGTCACCCCATGTGCTGGGTGGGTGCAGATGATGCAAAGCACCATTGCAGGGAGCAAACCTTTTGTAAGACATGTATAGTTTGGTGCATGTGCTCTTTGCTTCCCCTCCTACGTGCTGCTTGAGGCAGCTTCACTGTTCAGCAATGGAACAAGCAGCAGCACATAGGAAAAGGACTAACAGCTGGTTATCACTTACAGACTCATAGAATGGCTCGGAAGGGACCTTAAAGCTCATCCAGCTCCAACCTCTGCCATGGGCAGGGACACCTTCCACTAGAGCAGGTTGCTCCAAACCCCTGTGTCCAACCTGGCCTTGAACACTGCCAGGGATGGGGCAGCCACAGCTTCTCTGGGCAGAAAGTTACCTACAACAAGCAGAACTGAAGCGGTTGGCACTGGCCTGACTAGCCCCCATTGGAAATAAACATAGAAATTCCAAGACACTCACCAGATTTCCCAGTTTCCTCAGTGGATTGGCTGCAGCCTGTTGCTCCTATCGGCTGGGTTATTCCTCTTCCATCCTGCATATTAAATCCGAGTGGCAGCCACCCCAGGGCTCTCTGCTCAGCAGCAGCAGCAGCCCCTGGCCAGCCCTGCAGGCTGCATCCCGCGCCCTCATAAAGCAGGGTGCCCTTGCTCAGCAGCCATCTCTGCTGCCCTTCTCTTTGCTTTCCCCTTTCTTTGGGGCTGCTCTGCTTGTGTGAAACAAAATAAACACAAGAACAGCCCTTGCAATGTATTTAGTTTGGCCCAAATCAGCCCATGGGATGCGGGCCTGGGGAGAAGAGAGAGCTGAAGGAAGCTGGGCTGCTGTCGTGGCCGCCGCGGTCTCCTGGGGCTCAGTTCTCTGGGCATCCTCCTCCAGGATGTGAGAAACACCCAAAAATGGCCCCAAAACCCACTTGAAAACACACGTGCTCCCCTGCTCCCCACTGCATTTGGGTGAGGACAGCCCATGCCCAAGGCGGACAGTGTTCACCACCCAAAAACATTCACTAAAATCAAGTTTTTCCCTCAGAAACCCCAAGGTTTTGGGAAGGCAGCTCCAAAGGTGCCCCCATTTCCTTCCCCCCTCGTTTTCCAGCTGAATAACAATAAACAGCATCATTTTGACAATAAACGTCATCATTTTGATATGATGTATTTATATTTACATGGTACATTTTAAAGCAATAGCTACACTGATCATACATATTAGAAACAATAAAAAAAGGAAGTTAAGAACTAAAATGTACATCATACACTTGTATATATATTTTTTGTTGGTTTTTTCTTTTTTTTTTTTTTTTTACACAGAGGTAAAAAGGCTTATAAAAATCAATACAACAGGGTTTTAACTTTTAGTATATAGATACAATAATGATGAGGCTTCAGGCACTTTAATTTGTTAATGTGAGCGATAGCTTGGAGAAAAAGAAAAATAACAAAAAAAAAAAACCAAAAAACAAACAAAAAACCTTTCCACAACAGGAAAAAAAAAGAAAAAAAAAAAAAAACCTTTCCAAAACAGGAAAAAAAAAAAAAAAAAAAAAAAAAAAGGAAAATTTGGTTAATGTTTTGTTACCACAGATACAAAAATAAAATCTGAATAATTTCTCTCAAATGATCGATGTCAGTATTGCAAAGCTGACGGGGAGAACGCCACACACTGTTCAGCAGCTGTGTGGAAATTAAGAAGTATTTACAAAAACAACACCCATTTCTATCATTGTGCCCTTACACCACTGCCTTCACAAACCAAATAACACACGCAGCAAAATCTACAAGTATTACAAAAACCCAAGAGAAAAGGGAGGAAGGAAAAAAAAAATTAATAATAGGGAAAAAAAAAAGAGGGGATTTTTTTTTAACTTTTATTTCCAGACATACAGAAAGGCTTGGAGTATGTCTACTTTACTTAAATAAATAGGGGCACTTCAAGACCGGACAAAAAGCTGTAAGATCTTTTTGTAGTGTTGTGCTTTATAGAGAGAAGATCTTACAGATGTTTGTTTACATGAAACAACTTTGAGAACAGAAATAAAAAAGGAAAAGGTTGTTCCATTACGGTTTCTTTTTTTCGAGGCTGGCTTGATGTTTACTAGACACCATTGAGAGATTTGTCAACTGCTATTAGGCACAAAATATTTCTATTTCATTCAGCAAACCCAGACACATCACCCAGAGTGTAACACTCCATCCCTTTTCCACTGTCATTCGTTTCTTTTCCCAACCGAAAAAATCCCCAGCAACTGCTACGAATTAAGCCTACCGAACTCTATAGTGTATAAGCACATTGCATACTTAATTCATGGTTGACTAAAAAGCTGTGATTAACTCTCAGAGGAACTGTTGGGAAATTCCACCGAGAAAGAATGGCAAGCGTTCCTTTTACATTTATTTGGCAAATTAATAAAAAAAGAAAATATTCCTCTCTTTTAAGACTGATGTCAATGTGCAATAGAGGGAGGGAAAGGACATGCGCCCACTGGCAATTTACTGCAGAAAGAAATTATGGCAGGGACTTTGAAAAGCCAATCCCTAGCTGCCTCAAAGTATTCAGATTGTACTATGCTAGTTAGAGCTCACTGCGCTAAATCATTTTTATTTTTATTTTTAATAAAAATTATTTGGCTATTCCTTGTAATATATTAGAAAAATACTCTTTTTCCAAGCTAATTACAAGCCTTGTACACAAGACAACATGACATTTAAAAAAAAAATAAAATAACAAACTTAAAAGTAATCTTATCCTGCTGTATGCACCTTTATGCATCCACTTGATAAATCTGGGTGGTGAACTGGGGAAGGGAAAGCCAGGGAGACGCTTCGGTCTGGCTCCTGCAAAGACTCACGTGCTTCATCCTACACGCAATACGTCGAGACACGTGTAAGCATCTGGAGGACTGGGACCGCAGGTCAGGAAATGGAAGTGGTGGTTGACATCCTGGCTTTTGGCTTTACATACCTGCTTAGATTGCTAAATGGAGTTTCTACTGTGGACGCGTATGTTCTCATGCTCATGTTATTATACAGAAAACAAACAAGCAAATACAATTTTCCATATAATCCACCACTTAATGCAGCATTTCCCCAGAATTGCCATAATAGTGCTTTTGACATTGCATTGTTAGTAATTCTTTGCATAACAACAATTTTCCTCATCTGGAACCTTAGTGTTTTATTCACAGATCATTACATGGCTGGCTAAGGAAGAAGTTCCCTTTCTTTTGGGCAGAACTCTGAAAGAAACAGTTTCATTTTTCCAATGTTATTTAGGGAAAAAAGAAAACCCTAAAATTTAAGTTTCCCTTTCAAGTAGTGGTCTGAAATGATTACAGGTAAGGAGAACTACCAGATCCTCAATGGCTATGTGACTATGGTAACTGAGTCTTGCTTTCTGTTCACAGAGCTTTATGAACAGAAATAATTTAAGATGTTTGCTGAAGGAAATGACGATGGACTCTAGAAGAGAAACTGCAGCTTAGATGGCTATTTTTGCTTTGGAAAACAGAACAAAAAACCCCAAAGAAAACCAGTGACAGAAATACTGTGTTGTGGTACAAGTTTGTTACTAGCACACCTTCTATACACACACAATAACTTGACAGCAAGTTAAAATATCTTCCAAGTGAGATTTCATTCACTACACCACCCCGTTTCTAGAAATGCCAGAGCTTGTTAACACGCTGATGGTACCACACAAGCGGAGGCAAGACGGACACAACCTGGAGATGTTTTACAATCCACCACCATTTAAAGTTCTTTTCTCAAACTCATTTTAACTGGAAAAAAAACCCCAAAACAAAACAAACAAATAAACAAACAAAAAAAACCCCACATGTACAAGACAGTCTGTTTTGATTACAGATTAATAATACAAAAGTCTATGCTGTAGGTTAGTTAGTTAGAACACTTGATGAGCAAATCAATGCAGTGTGAGCCCCAGATGACCAAATGTAAAGTGATCCAAACTGGTGGTTTCTGGATGCTGTTGGGCACAGTGGCTGCATCAAAATGAGTGATCTCAATGCTCCGAAACCAATGTGTTCCTTGAACTACAGAAAAAACGTAACACTTTGAATGCATCTGTAGTCATCCAGCAGCTTTATGTTTTCCACCACAGCACCTGCACATGACCCCACAGTGGTAACAAGCCCGAAGCGGCAAGTAACAGCACATACATGGAGCAATGAAAGACAAGGCGATAAGGGCCATCCACCGGAGGCAAAACATTTCATCACTGGTGTCACATGAGCAAGGATCTGTATAGTCTCCTTCTGGATCGGACATACAGTGATAGAGCATAGTGTCTGCGCACCACATACAGCTCACTCGATGGATGCAAGTCTTGACGCGGTCTGGAGCATCCTGGCATTGACCCCGTTTGTTCTCCTCATGGTTGAACATGTCCCTGCAGTACACGCACCGCGACCTCTCACCATCTTCCTTCCGCCTGGGCTTAAACTTAACAGGTTGAGTCTTTATCACAGCACCCTTGATATCTTCACCCAGGTCAAAGTCCGAGTTGTCTACGTAAGGATAAGTGTATTCGTGTTTTGAGGCCTCACTTTTGGCAAAACGTACGTAGGAGTCCATGTCGTCAGGATCGAAGTTCTTTCCCCGTGCTGGGGCATGGCGATAGTCCTCATATCCAGTCATCCAAATCTTTTCCCGAGGATTGATGCGCACTATCTCCTCATCATCATCTGGAAAGTTGACGTGCCGGTAGGACCGCGGTACTGACTGTGGAAGTAGGGATGAAGAGGGACAAAAGATAAACAAGGTCACTTTGCTATCAGCAATCACTGTCTCCTTGCTTATCTGAAAAGCCAATATTTAACCATTTCTTCTTTCCTTCTTTGTATACTCTTCCCTGATGAATCACAGAGTTTCAGTCTTTGACTCGGGAACAGGAACAACTGTCACAGACCCACAACGGTCTGTGTGCACATGGTACAGCATCAAATACTAGATCACAGAATGGTCAGGGTTGAAAGGATCATCTAGTTCCAACCCTCCCTGCCATGGGCAGGGACACCTCACGCGCTGACCATGTCACCCAAGGCTCTGTCCAGCCTGGCCTTGAACACCGCCAGGGATTGAGCATTTACCACTTCCTCTGGCAACCCATTCCAGTGCCTCACCACCCTCACAGTGAAGAACTTCTTCCTTATGTCTAGCCTGAACTTCCCTTGTTTAAACCCATTACCCCTTGTCCTATTGCTACAGTCCCTGATGAAGAGTCCCTGATGAAGAGATCATAGTGTAAACCCATTTATTTATTTATTCATTTAAAATAACTGGAAGCAATTTAAAGCTAACTGAGAAGGAAAGGGGCAGAAAGAAGGGAGGGGTGTCTTTCAGGGCTGTGGGGCGAAACCCAAACACCAGTCTTCGCTATGGCAGACACAGCCCTTTAGGTGGCAATGCTGGAAGAAACCTTACTTGTTCTAGATGGTAGTGGTCAGAGCTATAATGGTCGTGCAGGTGTCCACGAGTGCAAATTCTTCGGTGTTCGCAGGATGCAGGAGAAGCCAGAGTTCGCACAGGCTGTTCCCTTTTTTGAGAGGAGTTAGAGGAGCTATCTGTAGCGTTCTGTTTTAAATGGAAAGGAAGGGAAAAATCATCATACATACAGCTGTTACTGCAGACAGTATTAAAAGAGATGTTTTGCCACTCACTGGCTTTGCGCACACCTGCGACGTAGGCAACACCTGACAGCAGGCAGCTTCATGAAGCTTCACATAAAATACTTGCAAGAGGCAGATCTGTTGCCAGGCCATAAAAGCTGTCGCCACACACATGGAAAAATAATATGCCATAGCCTACCCGTGACATATTCACCAACACCATTTGTATTTGCTTGGCATGCTCTTTGTTACACTGGGCACTGCGAGATGATGAGTGTTCATACTAGAAACTACCTCAGAAGAGCAAAGTTACACAATTGCATCAATTGACAGGGTTTAAGTCTTGTGGGCAAACTCAGACAGAGCATCTGTGTGCCCAGGCAGTACCCCACTAATTACTCAGGCTACAAAAATATTGGCAATTCTTTAACCTGCAGGCATCCCATTAAGCCAAAATCTCCCTCACAAGTTCTTCTCGAAACACTCACCGAATTCCAGTTCATCACAGGCTACTTGAATAATCAGCTTCCCTTTAGAAACTCCAGGGGCTTTTTTTCCCCTCCTCACTAATTTCTAGTGTGCAGTAAGTGTTACCTGTATTTTTATACGTTCCTGCCTCATGGTGACAGCTTTCTTTAGGTTAATTGGCTACACCATTATATAACGACGATCATGAAAGAGTGAAATACCATACGATAACCTGCTGTTGCCAATACCTGAAGCTTCTTAATATACATATTTTTCTTCCTAGAGAAACACACAGTGGGGTACCACTCTTTGCCACCCTCACTCCATACTCCTTCCTTGGTTAAAACAGTTTCCATGCGATATCCAGACATTCAGGATTTTGCCCATTAATTCTTTTCATAGATTGCTTGGGCTTTTTTTCTATTACCATGAAAGGACAACTGTTAAATACACTAACAGATCAGGAGCAGGAAAAAGAGCCTCCATGCACCAGAAGAGCTGTAACACTGCACTAAATATTGGTGCTTTGAACTAAGAAAAACCTCCGTCCCCCTCTAACTAATAAGCTGTGCTGCAGCTCCGAGGAGCCCAAGGGAAAGGTTTCCATTTGCCACAACAGTCAGCTAGAGACACAACCTCCAGAGCGGAAAAAAGTTGTATCAGTAATGGGAGAAGACTGGTTTTACCTGAAAAACCTTCTCTCCGTGTCAAGAATGCACTCTCTGAATGTTATTTTCCAATGAATCGTACTAGACACGTCTCTTACTTCAAGAATACAAGAACCTTCATTGTGGACATCTGTTTATTCTGAAAACAACACTGCAAGACTCTGTCCAAAGGTGAGAACACCTTAAAGCACTACAACACAAACCAGATGTTGATCTTCTTTAACCGGTACAGCACTTAAAAGGCACTGCACTCCCAACTTACTTTGTTGAAAGCAAATACACAGATCTGTTTGCAGTGTGATGTAAAGCCAGGCTGGGTTATCTGCGAGGTGCAACAAGCAGAATGAGTTCTGAATGGCTGACCCACCCATTAGGAACTGACTTTAAATGCATGTGTTTGTTTTGGTTGGTTTTTTCTCCTCCTTTTTTTAAACGAGTATGTAGAAGCAGAACTCTAAGGGTAGTTAACAACACCTCTCTAATGTAACTGCACTGATATTCCGGCTCTTTTTAGAAAGTGGTTTGATCAGCCCAAGCTTTGTAACTTGTAAAACAAAGGCACTTCAAATCTGGCATTTAAACCCTTTGAAGACAGTTCTTGTGCCTGTAACTTTAGGTCCTACAATATCTAGTACATTTTGGGGACATTTCAAAAGACAATGAGCAGCTTCTACAAGTACTTCATAGTAACAGTGAGCTTCCAACCTATCTGCAAAACCAGAGTTGAGCTGGGATTTAGTTACAACAGCCTCCTCACACGAGTACCTTTTCGCAGTGCTGTGTGCGGTGCAGACCCAGGTGCCAAGCTGTAATTTAAGCTCAGAACAACACCAGAACGGCACACACCCCATATTCCGGGCAGCCTCAGCCTGCAGCGTGCTCTCTGAGTTAAACTTTGACTGGCATGAACCAGAAAGGAGGCAGGGCCTTAACGCAGTGCCGTGCCAGGCAGCAGGACCCTTTACCTTCACCGGAACCCTGGCTGAGCCCTGCTGGGACAAGCCTTTTGTGGATACACTCTGAAAACATTGTGGGTGCTCGTGGTCAAAATAACAAAGCCTGGGAAAGTTACCCAAGTGGAAGAGGAGGTTGCACATGCTGGCCTGCAATCCCCCCCCCCCCCCCCCGGTGGCAATAAAAAAAACAACAATGTGT